GTCTGTCTCCTATGTTGCATTAGGTCGCTTTGTGTGACAGTAAGCAGAGATGGTGCAGTTGAGCAAAGAGCCAATTTATTGTTCAACTAACTGGATACAACATAGAAGTTTATGGTGAGTTTAAATGTCTGGCTAATTCCATAGTGTGGTGATGCTACAGTACCACACTGAGTAGATTACTGTATATTGTAAATGATTTAAATATTACATTTAACTGTGTAGAAATTGATATACTGTAGTTCTCATCATCACTGAGGTGGAGTGAGATGCTAGTTGGACTCTTTAGGCACTTACTAATCCCAGTATCACATATTTTACTCAATTTTTTTGATAAACAGATTCTTTCTTTTGCTGTGTGTGACCTAAATGCCAGGTAGTTCCTGTTTAAAACACACAAGTCACTGATTAAAAAATATGGATGTTCCTGTAGCTGTAGAAATGTATGAAAATTGCACTTTTAGTAATATAAGCACAAGGTCGACAAAGAAGGTGAGGGAGACATATCTAAAGAAACATGTTTTTGTTCTTTGTTCTTGTTATCCTAGTTTAATTTTGTGCCCCCTGTCTCTTTTGAAGTGAGGCTTTTGGAATTTGGGCAACAAAGATCATACTAATGAAAAATTTATTTGAAATTAAACTGGAATAGGATACACTAACATATTGTAACTGTATCAAATAAGGATTTATAGTCTCTACGAAAGCTGCAATGATTCCTTAAACAAGACAGGAAATTGTCAACTATTCAGACAACTGATTCTCAAATGTGGGGGATTTAATGAATTGAAGCAATCAATAATACAAATAAAATTAGTTGCCGCCCTAGTCACCACAGTAACAGTGCAGAGAGTGTTGGACTGTAATGTTTGCGTGAGTCCTGTATTTCATAATGGGAATACACCGGGTTTGACTTTGTCTATCAGGAGAAGAGATTTTCTTATGACACACACACACACACACACTTCCATCTTTGCGTAGACCCTCGCTCTCTCCTTTCCTCTCCTCTTCCCTCCCTACACCCCTCCCTCCTCCTCAGATGACCGGGCTGGAAAATTAGCTTGTCACATTGGCTTTGAATTGAATTGACCTGAATGTACCTTCCTCAAAAAAAACCCTCTGTCACTCTCTCTCTCTCTTTCTTTCCCATGAATTTCACTTGGACTGTATTAGTGGACGGTTATCAGTGTCCTGTCGGAAGATGGTTCTCTCTTTGCTGCCGAAGATACTTGGCTCTTCTTAAGAATCAGAGGCCTGTTGGCCTTTTATCCAGTGGATTGAGACAATATTGGTACATATGAACCAGAACTATTGTGTACCACACAGGGCCGTAGCCAAACAGAAAATCTTTCATTTTCAAGACCTCATAGATTTCTAGATCTTGATATTTTATCCTTGGATAAGGAAAAAAGCTTTTGACAAAGTTGACCATGTTTGTTTTTGTACAGTTAGGCTTTTTGAGTTTGTGCCATGGGTGGGGTTATTGTATTGTGGGGCTCAGCGTTTGGTGAAGGGCTGTGTCAGCCAATCCCTGCACAGAGGTGAGTAAAGCAGGGGTGTAGCTATGTAGTCTGGCTACTGAACCTCTGCTGTGCACAAACTGGCACAGTGTATTTCCAATGCCAGGTGCAAATCAGTCCTCTGATAATCTCTGCCTCTGTAGATGATAATGCTTTTGTCAGGGATCCGGCTGATGTGTGGGTTGAAGGATAGTCTCCAGCCTCATTGGCTAAAGTAAACTGGGCTAAGGTTGAGGCCCTATAGGTGGGAAAGTGAAGATTACACTTTGGAGTTAGCTGAGATAACATTCAGAAGATAGTTTTTGATTCTGTGTCAGTGGCTCCATAGATCCTGGAACTATTTTGTCAAAAAGGGTTAAGTGCCATCTTAATGGAAGCCTAGCCCATAGTTGCACCTTTTAGACGAACAGGCTCACCATCCTCAGATCACCACCATTTTTTCTTCTTTGTCCAGCTGACCATTGTGTAGGGTGGTCAAGCCTAGAACCCGTCTCAATAGTCATCTTGTGTGACCTGCACTTCAGCAGCATCATATTTCATATACACAGCTACACAGATAGTGGAAGTGAGATGTGGGAAACAAGTTTGGTAATCTGGACCTCCACCTCACTAACCACCATCTGTCATATCCCTCCTCCTCTGGTAGGAAAGAACCAAACAGAGCAAAGTTTTGGTTCTTTGTGTGTGTGTTTGCATGTGTGTGAGAGAAAGCGAAAGAGAGAGAGAGGCCTGGCCACTTTGTTGAACTTGACAAGCAAGATCCTCAGCACTCACCTGTAGGGATGAATCAGTGTCACTGCTGGACTCTATAACACAAAGAGGTGAAATATGATGGTGACCAACCTTTATTTTATTTGTTTTTGGAGGTGAGGTGTTGGATTGTAGTTCTCACTGATCGTGATGCTGAAATAGAAGCTTGAATCTCACCAACTAAAGCTTAAGTATTACCAAGGGGCACAATATTAAAGGACTATACCACTGATTAGACCAGGGGTGGCCAACTCCAGTCCTTGAGGGCCGCTGTCCTGCTTGTTTTCCAACTATCCCTGCCTTACCTGGCTCAGGTGTGTTCAGCCAGTCAGAAGCTGGAAAATAGTTGGAAAACAAGCAGGATAGCGGCCCTCGAGGACTGGAATTGGCCACCCCTGGATTAGACCATCATTTACAAAAATGTGCATAATATATCACCCATTCTCTGAAGTGCACACCAAGTGCAGGCAGCTACTGATTTATATGTAATAATTTAGGGTGTTCTTGTCTTGTGGGATGCCTAGGTTATTTCAAATCAGGGCTGACATTTCCTCAAGATCTGTTGGCGATAGATGAATAAAATTTCATGCGTGATGCTCAGCATAAAAAAGCATTTAAAATTCAGGCTGTCTTTATGGAATCGGGATATTTTCTGTTGAAGAAACCGTCTGTATGAAACTGTCCACAGCAGGTTCTGTAGAAATTTGCATCTTCATTTTATTGGGAGAAATGTCACTAGGAACTGACTGCGACTAGAAAGTCCAATATAATCAGAAAACGGTAAAATGCTAAAGTAATTCCACATATATGCAGCATATTTAATTTGTTCTGGATTATTTGTGTTATTTTACTTGATCTCTCACCTGAGTAGGAGATATCTATCGCTCACCAGCCAATGCCTTGTAAAATATCTTCATATGTTGGGGCTGTGGGCTTTTTAGCCTGTGGGCATATTTAGTCTTAATATTGAGTTTCTCTTCACCCATTGTAATTGTAACCACTACAAAACTACAGAAGTGATGAAGCTACGGAACTTGTACACCGAGGATTTTGAATTTGAACTGGACACGTTTCAACTAATTGTTCACTAATATATTTATATTCAGAGGTTACATTAATCAAATATTTTCTGTCATTTGTTGGAATTTTGTTAATAATGACAGAAAAATCTAAAGGTCATTCGGCGTTTTGACAGATTAGAACACAGAGGGCAATTTACCCTAACTTAAAATGAGGATATAAGGTGAAAAAAGAGGAACTGATTATGTGGATGAAGGACAACTGAGACCTGCTCAATGCACCTTGCATTCCGGTAGCTGGTAGCATGTTGAAGAGCCACAGAGCGCATTTGTGAGCATTGCAGATCACAGAGGGGTGAAGCTGCGCCTTTGGTGCAGAAAGAGCGCATGCAGCGGATTCCTCCTGGTGAAGTGAGTGCATCAGGATCAGGAAATCCCACGTTCAGAGCAACCTGTAATTACTTCCTGACTCAAACTTTGGCTGAAGTGAAGCTGCCAAGTCCAGTCTCCAATGCAGCAGCAGAGCGCAGGTTCAGCTTTCGGATAAATTATAATGGCAATGAGAAACCTAATGACAGTCACCTCTGCAGCAGACCAGCTGAGTTCAGTTCAGTTAGCCTAAGTTCTTGTAAATGGTTTGTTCATATTATAATGGTCATTGCCAGGTTTTGTAAAATTGCACTCTTCGTGTTTACGCAGACTAGCCACAGTATTTTTAGTGGCCTTTGCTGTCGCTGCGAAAAAAAATCTGCTTCATGTGGTGTTGACATGAAAAGTGGCTGCACATTAGCTTGTTCCTTATATTAATTATTAAAAAATGAAATGAAGAGTAAATGCTATTAAATGTCTTATCATTAAAAAATGAAAATAATAAATTATGACAGAATTATGACCCTGTCCTTCAAAATGATGGACAACAAGGAAGTCTAGCGTGACCTCTGTCTGTATCTGAAGTCTCTGCGAGTTGACTTTTGAAGCTAGTTGATATTATTGAACACAGATAATAATCTAATTAGTATTGTGTGCTTTGGCAAATGTGTGGCCACTATGCCAAAATAACCTGTAACTTGGCTTATAGCTTATGATATAGCCTCTTACTCTTACACATAGACTCTTTTATTACTCAGCAGTGCTTCTGTCTCCTCTGCACCCTTCATTTACTCTCTTTCCTTTCTCTCTTCTACTTTTCTATCTCTCTTTTTACTTTGTTCTTACTCTTTGCCCTCTCCTTCCATTTTATTTCCCCGTCTCCTTGTGCTCATTATACATTCTACTGAACTGCTCCGCCTCTCTCTCTTTTTGTATCTGTCTCTGTCTCTCTCTCTGTATCCTGCAGAAGCTCAGGACGGTCTGTAAATGGCCGTGGTAGGTGGTGGCTGTGGCTTTAAATGGAGAAACTGAACACGCGCACACAGGCACACAACCCATTTCAGGCCCAAATTGATGAGGCAGATTTATGATGGCTGCTGGCCACAACAAATTAAGTTGACAGTGATGTATGGAGGGGGCAGTGTCACACTGCACTAACGGACCACACATACACACGCCCCAGCGGTGGCCCTCTACTCCCAGTCCTTCTTGTTAAGCATCCCTCTCAGGCAGCCCTCCTGCAGTATACTTGCATAATGAAATTCCTCATACTGATTTGTGTGTGTATGTGTGTTCCCCCCCTCTCTTTTTTCCTCCCATCCACCTCCACCTTTCTTCCACCCCCCAGACTCATCCTGCTGCCAGCAAACTGCCCCTGAAGGACAGCTTCACGTTTGATGACTACAGGTCAGTGTGTGTGTGTGTGTGTGTGTGTGTGTTTCAAAACGTGGCCCGTTTTCAGATTGTTCACATGTGCTTCTACGTGTTTGTGCAAAGTGGAGCAAATGCAAAAGAAACATGTTGGTTCACTACTGTACATCAGTAATAGTGGCACTGTATACATTCTGCTCAACACATTCACCACTCTATCACAGTGAGCGAAACAGCATAAATACAATGATTGTACACAGGAAAAAGGCTCATATTTCAGTAATGAGACAAGGTAAAAGTATGTGTGTAGCTCAGTCAGTAAATAAAGACTGTAACACAGTGGCCGTGGGGAAATGTCATTACAACACCATATGGCTTGATTGTCTGACACTGAGGTACTGCATAAGCTGTGTTGCCAGAATGGGTGGGGTTTTTTCCCCACCCAGTTGGGTGGCCTTTCATTTACTTGGGTCAGTAAAAAAAATAGTTTTGGGTGGGTTATGATAATTGGACTACTTTGTTTCATATCTGGGTGGTTTCAACCGACAGAAAGTTTGGCTCTATCCCAATAAATCAGCTCCTCGTCTCCTCTGAGTAATGTGATTGAGATGGACAGCTCATCACACAATAACTGGAAACTACCTCAAAGATTTTGATGTATTTTATTACTTCTTTTAAAAATGTATGATTGTTTTAATCATGGTTTTGAATTTTTTTTTTATATTGATAAAACATTAAACCTATGTTAATAGGACCGATTTTATATAAATAAAAACTGGGCTACTGTTGTGACAGTTGGGTGGGTTCCAGGCTCTGACTGGGAAACTCTTTGTCAAATCAGTCTGGCTAAACTAACTGTAAATCAAAACTTCTGCTGTGAGTATCTGTTATAAGCCTGCTGTTAGCCCCTTGTATCAGCTCTGAGTTCAGGTTAAGAGTTAACAGGACAAAGTAGTGTAGCTCCTTCTAGGTTCATACGAACTCCCTGAACAATGAACACACTGAAATATAATTCACACGAAGAGACACAGAGACAATTATTATATTTAATTGTATTTAACCATGTCTGACCAGACTGTGAACACAAACGGGGTGAACAAGGAGGCACATGATGCACACTAACATACCAGCCAAGGATTAAAATTGGCTCTAGAGAGGTTCGTGGCTTAATACTCAAAAGCAGTGTTTTTAAATAAAACTATGTATTGTATATTTGGATAACAATAGCTATTATGGCTTATATTTAACTCCTATAAATTCTGATGAGTTTGTTTTGACCATCTATAGTAGACAGGTAAGGGGCCGTTCACTTTTGTGTCTAAAAACACATGGAAAACACCAGGCGCGCCGCTTTCTCCTTCCTTGCAAAGTGCTCTGGAGCTTGCGCTCCCGTGGGTCCTGCCATTGCTAAGCAACCATGAGCTGCATGCTGCATCATGACAAGGAAGTTGCAGGATATACATGGATTTCCAGCACCAAAAATCCTTTGCTGTAGCTCTGCTACTACATTTTTTTGTGGACGAGAGGGGAAAAAATGTGTTTTGGGTCCATCCCATCCTTCAACAAGCACAAAGAAAACACAGAGAATTTCACCAACTGATCCAGCATCCTCCACCTTGGCTGAGGTTTGAACCAGATGTTGTCAGGGAAAGTGTGAAGTTGATTGGTTGGTTCTTGTCACATAACCTGTGGTGCACTTGCTGCACTCTCAGAAGTTGAGATCTTTTTAATCTCGCTGCAGTGTAGACATTCATGGAAAAACAGGTGCATTGCAACACTTGCATTGTGACAGCGTTGCTCTCTATTGTGAGTGAGCTTGTCGCTCGTCTTCATTTAAAATAATGAATTTGAGTCCACAAAAGATGCAAAAAGTGAACTGCCTCAAAACCAGTGCCTTGGTTGTATTGCTGGAGGAATATCACATCAGGACATGGGTAACAAAGAAGACAGGCAGCCAGAAAGATTTAATGATAACAGTGATGATCAGTGATTAATGAAGTCTGTAACTTGTATAAAACTGCGGTCACAAGCAAAAGTCATGGCACTATTTGCAGTTTCCTGGTTTTCTGCAATAATTGGTCATAAAATGTGATCTGATCTTCACCAAAGTCACAAATATCAACAAACACAATATTTCTAAGCTGCTAAAACACAGTCATAATCTTTCATGCTTTTATTGAACACACTCATTAAACATACAAAATGATGGAAAAAGTAATGGCAACACTAGGCTTCTGATGTCACTAAACGTCAACTGGAGTCAGTTGTTAGCAAACCTGGAGTCCAATCAATGAAATGAAAATAGAGGTGTGGTTTAGAACTACCCTGACTTATGAAAACACTGTGTCAGTGTGCAATTCGCAAGCAGCTTCAGCTGAAGTGAGCTGTGCCTTGCAAAAAAGAGATCTCAGAAGACCTACAATCAAGAGTTGTTGATTTGCATTTAGTTGGAAAGGGTTAGTCATCTTAAAGAATTTAGATATTTATCAGTCCACAGTTAGACATACTGTTTATAAATGGAGATGATTTAGTACTGTGGCTACTCTCCATAGTAATGGGCACCCAGCCAGGATCACTCCAAAAGCACAATACAGAACGCTCACTGAGGGGAAAAACCCTGGTCTCAGGTCTCTGCACTCTGGTGCGGGTTTTCTTCAAGGGCCTCGGTGTTTGGCTGCATTCATCCTTCCCTCAGTTCTGACCAGACTCTCTGCATGTGCTGCTGAGAAGTCCCATGCAGAATGATGCTACCAGCACCATGTTTCACTGTCAGGATGGTGTCATTCAGGGTGATGTGCAGTGCCTGGTATTGACCAGAAATTGTGCTAGGAGTTCTGCACAGAGTTCAGTTTTTTTTCTCATCAGACCAGATAAGCTTTTTGCTTGTGCTCTCAGTCCTTTCAGTGCTGTTTGACAAACTCCAAGCAGCTGTTGTATGTCATTTAGTCTAAGTGGCTTCTAGCAGGTCTACCAGGAAGGCCTGATTGGTGGAGAACTGCTGAGATGGTTGTCCTTCCTGCAAGTTCTCCCATTTCTGCAGAGGACTCCTGAAGCTCTGTCAGTATGAATGTTGGGTTCTCAATCACCTCCCTGACCAAGGCCCTTTTTGCCCAGTTACTCAGTCTGGGCAGATGTAATGCACCTGATCTGCATGTCACCTGAAGTCTGGAGTACTATAGCAAAGCTCTGAATACTTTTAATTAGAGATTTCAGTTTTGGGTTGTTAATACATTTGAAAACATTTTTAAACATGCTTTCATTTTGTCATTATGGGTTATTGGGTGTAATCTAGTTGGCAAATTCAGTTTTATCCATTTAAAATTAAATCTACAACACAATGCGTGTAAAAAGTAGAGGTCTGAATGTTTTCTGAAACCACCATTGTACTCTATAAAGGGAGTAATGAATGAGGTAGAGAATTCCTGCTTCAGTTTTGACCCACTTACTGTAGTTGTTTTCATCGTTTTCCTGGTCAGTGATTAATTAACAAGATTTGGGGTGCTTTACATTCACTTTTAATATGCGTTTAGTGGGTTAGATAATCTGACTAAACTGTTTAAAACTTGTCAGATCTGTGTTGGCAAAACTGATAGAAATGATGGAATGAAAAGAAGACCCTATTTCTTATAAATCAGAAAAAATCTCTTAAGAGCTACATGGGTGTGTTCAAGAAGCACAAAAGTGTCCTGCTGATAAATTATTCCTTCAGTTTCTCTTCCTGCCTCTCTTATTCTCTATCTTTCTCCCTTCTCTCACCATCCTCTTCTGACGCAAGCCTTCTCTCATGCTAATATCAGTGGTGATCTCCTGAACTTCCCTCTTATGCTGTCTGGATCTGATGATCCCTGTCAGTGGAGGAAAATAAACATCAATGTACTGACCAATGATTGGCTGATTGTATGTGACAGGTGGGCGGTGTCATCAGTGATGACCCGTCAGAACCAGATCCCTACGGAGGACGGCAGCCGAGTCACTCTGGCCCTCATCCCACTCTGGGACATGTGTAACCACATCAATGGACTGGTAAAGTCTTGTTCACACACACAAACTTGCACACATCATGATGGCAAAGTTAAAGTTTGGACACTTTATCCCCATATTGTGATAAAATGGCATATCCCAGTAATATATGGTTTCAATATCACAGTGTGTGAAAACATTGAATTCACAGATAAGAATTTTCTTGGATCCCAAAAATGTATTTTGATGAAATGTATTTCCTGAGGACTGGTAAGGGTTGGAATAGTAAAACTGATTGTGTATCTGCAGATTACCACTGGCTATAACCTGGAGGATGATCGCTGTGAATGCGTGGCTTTGCAGGACTATAAGGAGAACGAACAGGTCATTCCCTCTTACTGCATATACTGTGGTGTTTCTTATTTCTTTGTTTACACATGCACACACTTGTCAGTTGCATTAATGTAAACAGCTAAATAAAAGGAGAGGTTGAGGTAACATTATGGAGGAGAAAGAGTGAGACAGTCCTTACCTCGCTGGTTGTACAGCAGAAATGATGAGAGGAGATTCAAAGGGACAGTGAGGTGATTCTATTTTCAGTGTTGGATGAGTGGAGAAGCTTCCGCTCCTCTACTCTTATTCCTCCTCGCAAAGGAAACACTCCAAACTTTAAAGTGATTTTTGATGATGTGAAATGCTCCATTAAATTCTTTCCACATTTGTATTCTAACACTGTATATTTAACTGTGTCTGCTGAGTATTATAAATATGGCTTCATTCTCTTAGCTGTCACAGTTTACATCAGAAATCACACCTAACACAGATTTTATCCACAAACCACTGGAGTCTGTGCAAGTCGGCCTTTCCAGTGAATGTTTCTTTGTTGCCCATTGCAGATAAGTGTCTGTAGAAATTTGAAATTATATAGAAAAGATGCTTGCAGTACTAATAATGTACCCCTCTTACCTCATAAAACTCAAGTTTAGATGTCAGTATCAAAGCAATCAAAATTGATTGTTGTCACAGTTCAAAGAGGAACTCCTAATAGCTGATGCAGTATAACCTTCCAGGGTGCAGATTTGTCTAGGTTTGAATAAATATAAGCTTAAATAATGAGACTACAGCCTATGAACTGGTTTAATATTTTTAGATTTTAATGTTTGTGGAAGAACTCCGTCAGTTTATTTTCCTAAGCACTCTATCTCACTTCACACTCTACACGAGTAAATAATTCTTCTGTTCTTCCTGTAGATCTACATCTTTTATGGCACAAGATCCAATGCCGAGTTTGTCATCCACAATGGCTTCTTCTACCAGGACAACGCCCATGACCGAGTGAAGATCAAGCTGGGCGTCAGCAAGAGTGAACGCCTCTATGCCATGAAGGCAGAAGTGTTGGCACGAGCTGGCATTCCAGCGTACGTCCAACTGCTCTTTAAGTCACTGTTTAGAAGCTTTTGTCCATGCAGATTTTCAGTCATCTAGGTCATAGTAAGCTGAAAAAACTGATGAAGCCTCTTGGATAAGAGGTGAAACGTCTTTGACCTAAAAACCAAGTCCAGTTGATTTTTCTTAAGTTTTTTCAGCTTTAGAAGCTTTTATTTCCACTCAAAGGACAAACATTCCTCTTCTTCCCTCTTTGTTCCTTTCTTCTAATCTGCAAACAGCATCTGCTCTTGTAAGTGAATCAATCTGCAGCCTAGGGCTGAAGCATTTTACTCTAAAGTCTTTAATGTGGGTCAAGGAGTGCTCCAGGCATATGACTAACTCCATGTACCATTAGCATAGCCACAATACACTTTTGTCTTCCAACAACACATATTTCAACCAATTAGGCCCCCCTTTGGCATAATTGAAACACATAACATAAATGTTGCAGCAGGTCTTTCTGCTTTTTTTTGCCCTCCCTCCCCGCCAAATAGCAATTTGCCATCCACCCTAACACTTTCATCACCAGCAAGCTTAATCATTTTATCATTAGCCTCTTAATTTTATGCAGCATTCTCTGCTTGGCATTTTTAATCAGACAGCTTTTAATCTCTTATTGATGACAGTCTAAATCTCAGCAGTGGAAATTAAATGAAACAATCCCGTTGTTGCCGGGGTGCTCTGTTAAACTGACAGATATGTTCATAGATCATTTTCAAAGGAAACAGCTACACGTCCAGTCAGCCTCGCTGAGATGTTGAGTGGCTGCTATCGTCACACTCCTTGCTCCTTTTCGCTCTACTGCATTTCTTCCTGATAAGTGGAAATAAACGAGCACTTTTGACTATTCGAGGCTGCAATTAGGTCTTTTTCTTTCAGTACATCTATCTTTAAACATGGAGCACAAGCTTTACTATACAGAGTTAACTTCTCTGAGCTGGATGCTCTGTTGCTGGAGGAATGGACAGGAGGGATAATTTAATAGGAAGAGTGGAGAGGCAGCTGTAATGCATTTGTGTGGTGTAATAATGTCGACCCTGTGCTACCCATCGCCACATCGATCACTTTAGTGAAGCAGGAGGAAAATATTGTCCTCTCTAAAATTAGCTCGCTGTCTAATGTTATGATGTGGAGCAGATTCTGCTGAGTCCTGGATCATACTTGGTTCATAGGTTTTCTGTTACACTGCTAGCTTTCACAAGCCCGAGAAATACCTCAAACCGCAATACTAATATTACATTTAGAGAGACACCAGAAAGACCGGAATTCAATGTAATGGAATCAGCTGACCTGCAGGCGAAGGCGATGTCCTCACCCATACATTTTATACTATGTTTTATAAAATCAAACTTATGTGTTTGAAATGTCAAACTTCAGATTTATTGTTTCATTTTTTAAATAACCTTTATTTGATAGTTATAATCCTTTACATCCATTCCTGCACCACCAAAGTTAAAACATACAGTCATCAATAATGACGATACCAATATTTTGGTTTAAGAAACAAGGATAAAACAATTTCATAAATATTATGCAGTGTGTACCTGAACACACTGCATAATATTTATACAGTTCATTCATACAGTTTTTATTGCATCATTTTGTTTCCTTTTCTGTCTCACACCAAACAAAATAGCTACATTTCTTATCCTATGAAGTATCATCTGTTATACAGGTTTGAATGGTCCTGTTGTATTTCTTGTGCATAGACGGTTGAAATTTTTTTGATAAGTTATCTGCTTACGTGCTGCTGTTCATACTATATTCTGAAGAGTTGCAGTCAGTGTGGTGATAGGTTAGCTGATCTGTCATATTCCCTAATTATTCTCCTGGCCCAAAAGGAGTGTGCATAGAAATACAACTTATTGTGTTGTATGAGCAGCCTCTTGTAACAAGTTTTATATGGAAACAGTGAACATAATTCAGGTTTCTTTTTTTTTTCCTGACTCTTGGATATTTTTATTACAATTTTAAGGTGTGTATGCTGTTTTGTTTTCAGGTCCTGTGTCTTTGCCCTGCACTGTAATGAACCTCCTATTTCAGCCCAGCTCCTAGCCTTCCTCAGAGTTTTCTGCATGTCAGAGGGTAAGAGACTGACAGGTACATCAACACACACACACACACACTGTGAAATACCAGCAACAGGACACTGCCTGTCAAACCACAGTCCTGATAGTGCATGCCACAGTTTTTCCTCTTCTGAGACTGTTG